ATTGCAGATATTTACACCAAACTGGAAGATATACAGCTCAACCAAGGAAATTGGAATGATTGAGTTTTTGGACAAAAAGGGTCCCTTCTTATCTTTTTCTTTATGTCATATTTCTTTTGCTGTTTTTTTTATTATGGACTGTAATATTAACTGGTTGTAAACCAGGAACAATCTTTTTAACTTTGCTAAATATGATGTAGGTTTTAAGTTGAAATTAAGAGAGCCTAGATAGAATCAAACATAATTCTCTGATAATTTTAGTTGATACAAAATAGATTCAATCGATTAAATCAATTAAAAGAAACACTTACATAGGAAATTCACATCAAAATAATCGATTAATTTGCGTATTAATCGATTAAAACCTGTATGTCATATGTTTGTATCAACTAAAACTAGTTTACATCAGTTAAATCAGCTAAATAAGGTACTATTCTGATTTTGATGGATCTATTGGCTAAAACCTACTCAATCTGGTTGATATTATCTCAAAACATTTTCCTAATAATCAATTTTTCAAAATCCAAACTGAATTAGGCATGATAGATGCATCAAACATTACTTAGTTTTCAAAACTGGTTGTTTTAATCGATATAAACAAGCTTTAAATCGATTAAAAGCACTTATACAACATTTTTCTTACTGTTTTAATCGATTAAATGTCGATTTAATCGATTAAATGTCGATTTAATCGATTAAATGTCGATTTAATCAATTAAATGTCGATTTAATCGATTAAATCAACTTATGTTTCAAACCTTCGAAATTTATCACTGTTTTAATCGATTAAAACGTTATTTTAATCGATTAAAACTAGTAACAAGATCATTTTAATCGATTTCGTCCTGTTTTTAATCGATTATTACTCTGGGAAAGAAAAGAATTAAAGGCTTTAGTTAATGACTGTTCCTGTAACATGCTACTAAAGCATGGTTCCCTTATCTTTACACGTGTTAATTGTATTCATTACAAACGTGTTAATGAAGATAAGTTTGAATCAACTTTGATTGATCTTTATATGAGTATACTGTTTTTCAAAAACTAAACTTTGCCATGCATTGTATTTGCTTTGTTCCTCTGTTCCCTATTTTTGATGAAGTCAAAAGAGGGAGAAATATTGCTTTGCTTTTATAATTGATTTCTCTTATTTAGGGGGAGTAGCAATATAGGGGGAGAAATGGGAAAATCATTATTTTTTTTGAATACTCACTAATTTGTATATTCAAGTGACTTCTTCTGCAGAGTTATTATTCAAAGAGGTGTTTGTCTTCATCAAATAGGGGGAGACTGAAAGTGATGAAGATCTTATTGAACTACTTTGGCAAAGATCTTGTTGATTTGATGAAGTCAAATGCTACTTTGTGGCAGTCAAAGGTCACTTAGATAAAAGAGTAGTGGGATTAGTGAGTCTACATCTCTGCTTAGGTATAATCATTTTTATCTCTCTACTGCATGAGGTTTCTTCATTTAAAAGATTTTGCAAAATGCCTCTAAAAAGCGATTAAACGGTTAAAAACAAAGTATTTTGATAAAAAGGTTTTTTAATTAACTATTTTAACTAATAGCATATAAGCTTTATCAACTAAAATGTTCTTAACACTTTTGTAACAGGTTTTTAACTGATATGTTTTTGAAATAATCGATTGTTTTCATTAAAGGAAGTTTTGAAAACCTTCTGACAGTGTTTTAACTAATATAGTTTCGAAATAATCGATTAAAATCACTTAAAATGTTCAGGGAAGTGTTCTGGTAGTATTTTAATCGATATAACTTCGAAATAATCGATTAAAACCACTTGGAGTATTTGTTAATCGATGTAATCTAGCATATGATCGATCAGAATGAGTTTATGATCGATCAGAATGAGTTTTTGATTTATCAGAATAATTTTAATCGATTAAAATGTGATTTAATCGATTAAAACAACTTAAGAGAATTTCTAGTAAGCGTTATAATCGATTAAAACAAATTGTTATCAGTTAAAATCACTTAGAAAAGTTTATAAGAATATTTTGCAGTATTTCAATCGATTGAAAGACGAATCAATCGATTAAAACAGTTTGGAGGATTTTTTACAAAGAGTTTTAATTGATATAAACGGTGTCGTATCGATTAAAACAAATCTGGAAAATGATCAAGAACATTTTAACAGATTAAAAGAAGTTTTAACAGATTAAAACAAGACTTTTAACAGATTAAAAGATTATTTTAACAGATTAAATAAACCAGCAGTTTTGAAAATCTTCTATATAAACAGAGTTGCTTGAACTTTTAAAAAAATATCTTTTAACAATCAATCAAGCAAGCATAAGTGCTACTTTCAAGAGAGAATCGCGCTAGTTTTTGTGAAGTTCATAGGAGTTCTTTCTTGAGGCAAAATTGCATTCTTTTGGAGAAGAAACACATACTGCAGAGTTGCATAAATCTGGTTTGAGCGTTCTAAGTTTCTTCTATTTGTTTCTTTACTTTCTTTACTGTATTGTGGGTGCCTGGAATTGTGGGCATTGGTTTCTATAGCTGGAATTTGGCTGCAGGGTTGGTCAAGAACTGAAATTTGGTTCTTGGTGAAGGTTTAGGTGCAGGAACTGGAATTGTGGTTCTTGTGGTAGATAAAGTGTGAGATTAAAGTTGTAATCTGTAAAACGTTCAATCTAGTGGAACCCAACTGGAATTTGGCTGGAGACTGGACGTAGCCCTGGGATTGGGTGAACCAATATAAACCTTGGTTGTATCTTTCTAAACCTTTCTCTCCTTTAATTTTGTCACTGCATTTAGTTTTGATTGCTTGCTGTGTGTGATTCAAGAACTGATTTGAAATCTTAATCTTTGAAATAGATAATCTATAATTTGCGAAAATCTTTTAAAGATCAATTCACCCCCCCTCTTGATCTCAGCCTACATTTCTAACACTCCGGATCTGACATATGAGTCTGATCTTCCCATTACCCTCCAAAAAGGTATTCGTTCTACACGTAATCCCTCTCCCCATTATATTGCTTTGAGTTATCATCGACTGTCATTACCTTTTTATACATGTCTTTCCTCTATTTCTTCTGTGACCATTCCAAAAATTGTCCGTGAAGCTTTAGCCTATCCTGGTTGGTGTCAGACCATGTTAGATGAACTAAGTGCTCTTCATAATAGTGGAACTTGGGAATTGGTCCTGTTACCGTCTGGGAAATCTGTTGTTGGTTGCAGGTGGGTGTTTGCTATCAAAGTTGGACCTAATGGTACTATTGATCGCCTCAAAGCTTGTCTTGTGGCCAAATGTTATACTCAAATTTTTGCGTTGGATTATGGAGATACCTTTTCCCTGTGGCAAAGATGGCTTTTGTTCGTTTATTTATCGCCATGGCCGCTCTTCAATAATGGCCTCTTTATCAACTAGATGTTAAAAATGTTTTCCTCAATGGTGATTTGCAAGAAGAAATATATATGGAGCAACCTCCTGGGTTTGTTGCTCAGGGGGAGTCTTCTGGGATGGTATGTCATCTTCGCAAATCCCTATATGGCCTAAAACAGTCTCCTAGGGCTTGGTTTGGAAAGTTTAGCAAGGTTGTTCAACAATTTGGTATGACTCAGTGTGAAACAGATCATTCTGTCTTTTATTGACACTCGAGTGCTGGATGTGTTTACTTGATAGTATATGTTGATGACATCGTTCTTACAGGTAGTGACAACCATGGCATCTCTCAGTTGAAACAACATCTCTGTCACCATTTTCAGACCAAAGATCTTGGCAAAATTAGATATTTCTTGGGTATTGAGGTGGCACAGTCCAATGATGGTATTATTATATCTCAGAGGAAGTATATCATAGATATTTTGGAGGAAACTGGGTTGATGAGTTCAAAGTCTGTTGATACATCCATGAATCCCAATACTAAATTTCTACCAAATCAGGGGGAGCCTATATCTGATCCTGAGCAGTATAGAAGATTAGTTGAAAAATTGAATTATCTTATAGTTACTTGTCCTGACATTTCCTTTGCAGTCAGTGTGGTAAGTCAATTTCTTAATTCACCATGTGAAGATCATTGGAATGCATTCATTCGTATCTTGAAGTATATTAAAGGATTTCCTGGAAAAGGATTGTTATATGGTTCTAATAACCATACAAGAGTTGTTTGCTACTTAGATGCTGATTGGGCAGGATCTCCTTCGGATAGAAGATCTACATCTGGATATTGTGTCTCCATTGGTGGTAACTTGATCTCATGAAAAAGTAAGAAACAAAGTGTTGTGGCAAGATCCAGTGCAGAAGCAGAATATAGAGCTATGACCTTAGCTGCCTGTGAACTTGTTTGGCTCAAACAATTTCTTAGAGAGTTACAATTTAGAGATGTCACTCAAATGTCACTTGTGTGTGACAATCAGGGTGCTCTTCATATTAGTTCTAATCCTGTCTTTCATGAGAGGATCAAACACATTGAGATTGATTGTCATTTCATTCTAGAAAAGATTATGTCTGGAGATATCAAGACTGAGTTTGTTAACTCAAGTGATCAGTTAGTAAATATTTTCACTAAGTCTTTACGAGAGCTTAGAATTGATTATATTTATAACAAGCTTGACACACATATTAATTGTATACTCCAACTTGAGGGGGAGTGTTAGATATTGTTTAGATATTATTTAGATATAATTTGATATTGTTAAGATATTGTTAACCACAATATCAAACAATATCTTCTGTTTATTCTGTTTACTTTCGGTTACTCTTTTAGTTGTACCTCTCTATTATAAATAGATTACCCTATGTGTGATTTATACATAAGGGAGATTAATTTCAAACCTTATTTCCTTTATATTCAACAAAAACAATAATGGTGACTTGTACCAACAACCGAAACAATCAAGATTACATTATAAACTTTATCTTTTTAAAAGATCGTGGGATGTGGTAGTGGTGCAGTGATTCGTTTCAAAAAATCGAGTAAGTTTTCGGTTTATCGTTTCTGAAAACGAACGACGCAGGTGTCTCTAGGTAAATCCAGCAGATGGTGCGGTTCATCCGCCAGGAAGCAGAGGAAAAAGCTAACGAGATCTTTGTCTCCACCGAAGAGGAATTCAATATCGAGAAGTTACAGTTGGTCGAAGCCGACAAGAAGAAGATTAGACAAGAGTACAAATGCAAAGAGCGCCAAGTCAAAATTCACAAGAAGATGCTCATTACCAAGAGATCAAGAGCACATGGTCTTGTGGAGGGTATACTGGAACGTGTTTTGATAAATTTGCATAGCATTCAAAAGAATCTGCAGTTCTGGAAGTTTAGAGCTAAGAGGTCAGATTCTGAGAAGGCGCGTTTCATGATTTTTGAAAGGGGTCCAAGGGCTTTTATTGATGAAACAGTTAAGTTGTTGCGTGGACTCACCGCCTAGTGGTTCGTCCGTAGTCCGTGTCAATCCGCATCTAATTTTATCGATGAGAGAGTAGCTGTTTTGAGTTGCTAAAGATATTCACTTGCCACATTTTTGGCTCAGGTTTGCTTTGTCTGATTAGTTGTCTCCTAATGTTTGAATCACAATAGTATTTCATAATTACAATATAATGATTTGCCTGTCTTTCATTGTCAAGCTTGCTTATTGGTGAATACTTATTTGTTATTGTATGATTATGTTTGGTTTATTAATCTTCATATTTGTTGAAGAGAAATTTTGGAATGACTGAATGATTATGAAGGTGATGCTATATCTTACATGTTTTCTTTAGCAACTGCTGCTCTTTACCGAATGACCCTAGTTTTGTCTTTGGGTACTTTCCCCCCTTTTTTCCTGGCTGAGACACTTTTATTGATGCCTTTAGGGCAATTTCTTTAATAGGCCTTCGGAGGATTATGAGTATACGTTTGACAGGAAAATTGTTTACTAGAAGATGTGGGATTCATTTATTCTGGCATGCCCATCAAACTCCTTTGAACGCAACTGTATAAATAGAAAATTAGAAATATGGAATAATTGCTTTATCAACTTCACTTTGTTAAAGGTCAATATGCTATCAATTCTCTGATATTTCTTCAAAGTTGAAACTCCATGCTCAGGTTTATATGGAAGTTGATACAATTGGAGAGGAGTTAGTGGCAAATCCAGAGACGAAGCTGCCCTCGTTGTTAGTTACAATTAATGATTTGTTTTCAATATTAGAAGCTTCAATTGGACATCTACATGCAACACGTCAGAGTGATTCTTCTGTCGATGGGAGCTATTCAATCCCTCTGCTATTTGAGAAGTTGCCAAAAATAACACTAGTGCAGAATAGCGCTTTTACGTCACCCAATTGTCGTCGCATGCATGTATATTCGACGTAAATAAAACGCGGTGGCAATTTTGTAAATATGGGACAAAAATTTTACGTCGCACATCCCAGTATGCGACGTAAAAAGCCTCTTTTACGTCGCACCTGGGAGGCGCGACGTAAAAGGCCATCTTTTACGTCGCGCCCTCCAGGTGCGACGTAAAAGATGGCTTTTTACGTCGCGTGCTGGGATGCGCGACGTAAAAAGTCTATTTTATTTCCCTCCAGACCCACTTCCTTGTCTCGCACAACTAGGGTTTTTGAGAACGACGACAACAGCTACCTCTGCGCACCATTTTCGAGCAGTTTTACAGTGAAAAGCATCTACATTATCGTGTCATTTGACGAACTTGATCTTTCTGCCCGATTGGAATCGAGTTTGAAATCAGTTTTCATCTACACTCGAGGTTAGTGTTCTATGTCCCGTGATTGTTTTTGGGGATCTCAATCACGTTATAGTATGAATGTCTCCACTGCATTGTTATTGGAATGTAATTATTTGTTTATTTGTTTGAGTGCATTCGGTTTACACACTCCATTGTTGTTGGAACGTGATTTGTTGTTTGTATATTAATTTTTTTTACATATAATTTGTAAATCTTTAGGAGTGACGAAACTTTATAACATAATATGAATCGAAGTTGGATGAATGCACGTCGTATTAGTGAAGAATACGAAAAGGGAGTTGAGGAATTTTTGAAATATGCTAGTGAGAATGGAAAAGCTATGAAAGGGACATATTATTGTCCATGTGTTCGTTGTTTGAATCAAATTCGTCATAAACTTGAGGATATACGTGATCACTTGTTTGTTTATGGTATTATTAAGAGTTATACAATATGGACATGGCATGGAGAAATATTAGACATCCCAACTGTGTCAACTACGTACAATTTTGATGAAGGGATGGATGATAATCTAGAGGATATGATACGTGATATTGGTGAAGAAAATTTTATGAAAGCACATCTATATGATTCTTTGAAATCTGATTTTGCGCAACAATTGTACATAGGATGTAGTTTTACAAGATTATCAGCAACTTTAAAATTGTTTACTTTAAAAGCAAGAAATGGATGGACTGATAAAAGTTTCACCGAATTATTGGAGTTGTTGAAGGAGATGCTTCCTGAAGATAATACATTACCTATTCGTAACTATGAGGCAAAGAAGATATTATGTCCAATGGGTTTAGAGTACAAGAAAATACATGCATGTCCTAATGATTGTATATTGTACAGAAAGGATTTTGCTAAATTAAAGATGTGTCCGACATGTGGTTTGTCGAGGTTCAAAAACAAAGTTGAGGAAAGTAGTGGTGAGGAAGAAGTAGATGGTCCCCTGCTAAGGTGTTATGGTATTTGCCAATTATACCTAGGTTTAAAAGATTATTTGCCATAAAAGAAGATGCAAGAAACTTGACATGGCATGCAAATGGTAGAAAATGTGACAATCTTCTTCGACATCCAGCTGATTCTCCACAATGGAAAAGGATTGATGAAACCTTTCCAGAATTTGGTGCAGAGCCAAGAAACTTGAGAATTGGATTAGCTACAGATGGGATGAATCCTTATGGAAATTTAAGTAGTAAACATAGTTCATGGCCAGTTATGTTGATCATTTACAATTTGCCTCCTTGGTTATGCATGAAGAGAAAATATATGATGTTATCTATGATGATTTCAGGACCTCGACAACCAGGAAATGACATAGATGTATATCTTAGTCCTTTAATTGATGATTTGAAAATGTTGTGGGAAACAGGAGTGGATGTATTTGATTCATATCACGAAGTGAATTTCAGAGTTGCGTGCAATGTTATTTTGTACTATAAATGATTTTCCAAGCATATGGTAATTTGAGCGGTTATAGTGTGAAAGGTCATTTAGCGTGTCCTATATGTCAAGAAGACACAAGTTATATCCAATTGAAACATGGACAAAAAACTGCGTACAATAGGCATAGAAAGTTTCTAGTTGCTAATCATCCATATCGTAAAATGAAAAAAGCATTTAATGGATGTCAGGAGAATGCAGTTGCATCAGTACCACGCAATGGTGAACAAGTATATGAACAAGTGAAAAATATTAATATTGTGTTTGGAAAGACCCAAAAGAAATCCACTGAGAAAAACATTTGGAAGAAACAATCTATATTCTTCAATCTTCCTTATTGGTGTAAGTTGGAAGTTAGACACTGTATAGATGTGATGCATGTTGAAAAAAATGTTTGTGATAGTATAATTGGGACATTGCTTAACATAAAAGGAAAGACAAAAGATGGAATAAAAGCAAGACAAGATTTGGCAGTACATGGGTATACGTTCGAATTACATCCACAATCAGTTGGAAAACGCACTTACTTACCTCCAAGCTTGTCATACTCTATCAAAGAAAGAAAAGAGAAGCTTTTGTGAATGTTTACGTGAGGTCAAAGTGCCACAAGGATACTCCTCAAATGTTAAGAGTCTTGTGTCTATGCAAGAGTTGAAATTAGTTGGTTTAAAGTCTCATGATTGTCATGTGTTGATGCAACAACTTTTACCAAGTGGCTATTCGAAACATCTTACTAACTTCTGTTAGAATTGCTATTACTCTGTTATGTTTGTTTTTCAACGCCATTTGTAAAAAGGTAATTGATCCAAAAAAGTTAGATGAATTAGAAACTCAAGCAATTGTGATAGTGTGCCAGCTTAGAAATGTATTTTCCCTTCATTTTTTGATATCATGGTGCATTTGATAGTCCATTTGGTAAGGGAAATTCTGTTATGTGGTCCAATTTTTCTTAGATGGATGTATCCTGTTGAGAGATACATGAAGATCTTAAAAGGATATGTGAAGAATCAAGTACAGGCCGAAGCTTCTATTGTGGAAAGGTACATTGCAGAAGAAGCCATTGAGTTTTGTCAAGGATACATGTCAAAATCGAACCAATAGGTATTCCTAAGATGAGACATGATGGAAGATGTGAAGGTAAGGGTACTCTAAATTTGAAGATTAAAAATGTTAGTCTGAAAGAAGTTGACCAAGCACATTTATACATATTGAACAACACCGATGAAGTAATCCCTTACATATCACAACACATAACCGAAATAAAGGCAACACATCCACGAATGAATGAAAAATGGGTATTGAATGAACATAACAAAAGTTTCCTTTCTTGGTTTAAAAAAAGGGTATATGTTGAGATTAATGCTTCGTAAACACTTCCGAGACTTGCTCGTGGGCCTAATAGTGATGTCATTACATTTGGTGGGTATGACATTAATAACTATTGTTTCTACTCAAAAATAGAAGATGATAAAGGTAGAGTACAAAATAGTAGGTCACAATTCAAGCCGAATCTATGCATTTTTCTAGTTCTAAAGACAAAAATCTTATCACAGCTTTCTATGAGTTATTTTGGGGTCATACAAGAGATATGGGAAATTGATTATGTTACTTTTAGGGTGCTTGTCTTCAACTCGTAAATGGGTTGAAGGGAATACTGATGTGCGAACGATGACCTAGGATTTACTTTGGTTGATTTGAGTAAAGTTGGGTATAAGGATGAACCTTTTATTTTGGCATATCAAGCGAGACAAATATTTTATGTCAAGGATCCATGTAATGAGAGATGGTCAATTGTCCTAGAAGGAAGAAACATGCACGTAATTCATGAAGATGAGTCTCTAGATATACATGAAACACCTTCATTTTCAAGTAGACCATTTGATGACATAGTTGACAATGAAGTTGATGACATACATGCAATTCGAAGTGATCATGATGAAGGGATATGGGAAAACATACCAACATAATAGGTGTTTATCTTAACATTTTCTAGTTCTTTTTATTCAAACTTATAAAGTATGTTGACTTAATATTGTTTTGTTTTTCATGATATGTCTGATTCCACAACTGGTACTAGTAGTGGTAAGTGGCAAGTGGTGGAGCTGAAGTGGTGATAAAGGTAGATCTCGTCACTCTGTTAAAGGGGTTGACAGCGAAGGAGGGTAGCTAGAGAGAAAACTCAAGTTGAAGTTGATCCACGTTCTGGTAAGGCATCCGGCCCAAATGCCGCTAAGTTTAAGAGCTATTTGGGA